CATCAATTTCTCACAACCACTACATCATCTCGAAAAATTCCCACAACCCATAAGCAAGCCAAGCTAATTCCCTACTGGAATTCAGCAATGCAAGCCGAATTTGATGCTCTTGTTCGCAACCAGACTTGGGATTTGGTTCCATGTGACTCTTCCAAAAACGTAGTGGATTGTAAGTGGTTATTCCGTATTAAGTATAAACCTGACGGTTCTGTTGACAGGTATAAGGCTCGTTTGGTTGCCAAGGGATTTACTCAGCGTCCTGGACTTGATTACCATTCCACCTTTAGTCCAGTAGTCAAGCCTGCTACTGTCCGTCTTGTCCTAACTATAGCCACTCAACTTGATTGGCATGTTCATCAGCTGGATGTTAACAATGCCTTCTTGCAAGGTAGTCTTGATGAAGAAGTCTATATGCGGCAGCCACCAGGATTTGAAAGTTTTGAGAATCCTACCCATGTATGTCGTCTTCAAAAGGCAATTTATGGCCTCAAGCAGGCTCCTCGTGCTAGGTATACTGAACTCAACAACTATCTGTTTACTTTGGGTTTTTTTAAATCCCGATCTGATTCCTCGTTCTTCATTTTGCATAATATGGGTTCACTGTGTACATTTTGGTCTATGTTGATGATATTTTAGTGACTGGTAATCGCCAACGAGGTGTTCATTATATCATTGAGGCTATCTCAAAACGTTTTTCACCGAAGGATTTAGGACCTCTTCATTACTTTCTTGGTGTTGAGGTAATTCGTTCCTCTACTGGTCTCTTTCTCTCTCAACAAAAGTACACTATGGACCTACTGCATGAGGTTGCGATGGATAATTGCAAAGGTGTTTCTACACCCATGACATCTACTGTTGTTTTTGATCCCTCACCTGATGATCATCTAGTTGATGGTTCGTTATACCGACGCATTATTGGTAAGCTTCATTACCTTTCTTTCACTCGTCCCGATATAGCTTATGCTGTCAGCAAGTTGTCACAGGCTATGCATCAACCGCTTATGTCACATTGGGTTTCTCTTAAGCGGCTTCTCCGCTATCTCCGTTCCACTACTTCCTATGCTGTACACATTGCCAAGGAGAGTGACCGTAGACTGCTTGCTTACTCCGATTCAGACTGGGCGGGAGATCCTCATAATCGCACCTCCACCACTGGTTATGTTATCTATCTTGGTCGTTCTCCTATTTCATGGTCTTCGAAGAAGCAACGTTCAGTTTCTTGTTCTTCTACAGAGGCTGAATATCGGGCAGTTGCAGCTGCTGTTTCCGAGACTAATTGGCTCACCCATCTTCTTCAAGAGCTTCAGTTTCCTTTAACTGCTGTTCCGAGAGTTCTCTGTGACAATGTCAGCACCACTTATATTTGTGCCAATCCTGTTTTCCATAGCCGCATGAAGCATGTGGCCATCGACTTCCACTTTGTCCGTGAGCAGGTTGAGCACAAACAGCTTGAAGTTACCCATTTACATGCTGCGGATCAAGTTGCGGATCTTCTTACAAAGCCTCTTCCACAAGCTAACTTTCAATAAACATTTTTTCAAGTTGGGCGTCGTAGACCTCGATGCCAACTTGCGGGGGCGTAATAACGGCAGTATCTCCTTCTGTATAGGACTTTTTGTTATTCTGTTTTTTAATATTTCTTTTGGTGCTTATCAGATTCCTTTTGTTTAGGATTGTTATTCACATAGGTTTCTCTGTATCCTAGATTCTCTCTAAGTTGTTACATTATTCACTTGGATAAAGCCAACCATATAATCACTACGATATAAGTTCTTCTTCTGCTTTATCACTCTTTATATATACCCCAACAGAGTGGAATAGTTCAATTGGTTAGCAACAATAGAGTCAGTTAGGATACTCACTCCTCCATTAACAGTCAGATTTCTGACGTCTATGCAAACAGTAAGGGAACTGATACTTACAGTAAAGAAAATCTTGAAGTTGTAGCAGAGAAATTGGGTCGCCGGATTTGCACCCTATTTAGATCAAATCTTTCATTTGCAGGAAGAGGAGCTGACAATTGGGGTAGGTGAGACTGTACAAGGGTGAAAATTACTGTTCCTAATAGATATTTTTGGGGTACCCAATGTGGAAAAAAATGAAACCTTGAGAATTATCAAAAGGCGAATCGACAAAATAATAATAATAATAATAATAACAGTAAAGTAGAGAGCATTAAAATGAAACTTTTGAGTAGTCGAGATTAACAATATGTTCAAAGTTAAATGTTGTAAAGAATTTGTCAATAAGTAAAGAAATTCACTTTTCTAATTTTATCGAAAATGACTTTTGTACAAAAAATGACCTTTCACAAATAAAAACAAATTAATAACTTCCGTCATGCCAAACAACCTCGGCTAAAAGTCATTTCCCTTAGTCAAATTAAACATTAGAGATTCAAAACTTAAAGAGCTTTAAATCGGATCTTGAAGGAACTAAGGCACATGGGTCATGAGCTAATAATTGGTTGTGCATTGAGAACATGTATCCTTTCAATTACGAGTTTAATTAAACTCGTAACTTTCGATACAAAATGTAAATTTATATGTAAAAAACTTATTAAATTCTCAATAATATTAGACTTTGAACACATAAGTTTGACAGTACAATAAGTTTAAGGTTAAAAATCTTAAAAGCTAAATCCATTAAATTTAAATCATAGACGTGCCCCTCTGGTTGAGAATCCACTAATGCAACAGGAACAATCCAAATCCAGCTTTGGTATTTGGTACTTAAAATGTATATCAGTTTTGTTCATATAAGTTACACAGGATTATGCAATATCTATCAAGTTGCCTTGTGTCTCCTGGATTTGTAAACGAAGGAGGGAAACAAATCCTTTTAGATTCAAGTCCGCTCCTTCATTTTTCTTAATTTTAAAATGATTCCATAAACCAAAGAGATTCATAAATGGATGAACTGTCATATAATATAATGCAAATGCTGATTTGAAAATCGTATAAATAATGTTGTTTGGTTTTCTTATATAAAATCAGATCTTACTGGATCAGACATGTATATCGCGAATCGCAAATAAATATTTACTCCTATGTTGTTTGGTTTTCTTATATAAAATCAGATCTTACTGGATCAGACATGTATATCGCGAATCGCAAATAAATATTTACTCCTGCCTCTCTTGTAGGGGGTGGCACATCTTCAATTAATGCATCATTTGATTACTATTTAAAAATGGTTAAGCTTTTCTCCTCTTTATCTTGTCCAATAATCTCTAGTAATGATTAAATTTACTTAAGTTTCTAATGCAGCTATGTTTGAATTCTTTTCTTGGACACAAAACTTTTTGGCATATTGTTTAGGTTTTGATAATGTATATTTTAGGTTTAGAAGCATAAAAGCAAAATTATTGGAAATGGTTTTCTTTTTTCTTGTTTGTTGTGGGGGGGTGGGGGCAGTGGCATAACTGACCACCCTTCGTCAAAAAATTGCACTGTTTACATTGGTAAAATATTATATTTTAAAAGTATATAACACATATTGAACACCCTTTGTCGGAATTTTTTCCACTTTTTTTAAATTTGAACACCCTTAGATAAATCCTAACTTCGCCACTGGGTTGGGGTGGGGGTTAATGTATTACAAAAGTGATTTGGTAACAAAAGTACTACTGTATTAAACAAAACTCAACACTTAATCCCAATATTTATATAAAAGCAGCACATGGCCAGCAAGAAAATAGTTTTAAAATGGGAAATAGAAGTAATTGGTGCTACTATTTTGCTAGTTGCTACTATAAGCTTTCATGATCCAACCAAAACTTACATAACTGAAATTCAACATCAACAAATATATCGAAATAAATCCATTTCCATGGGATAAGAATAACTCCAGACATCATTCTAAAAGATAAATCAGTGTTGATCTGGCATGTCAAAAGGAATAGCAGCAGCACTGTGAAAGTTGACCAACAAAATGGAAGATAGACAGGTAGATCTAAGATTTAATCTTGACAGATTCGATCTTTAAGGGAACTCGTTATACTTTTCCAACACTTAATAAACCAATAAATTTAGACGAGTTCACAAGGGCCACCTTTTGGCATCTGCAACAGGANATTCAAACTAGCTTTAGTATCTTAAAAGATTGAGAAAGGATCTTCTACTACATAAACTTTGTTACTATAACCTTAATTTGGTGGCAGAAATATGATACAATTCCTACCTACCTTGTAACAAGTTATAAGCTCAGAAGGTACTCTTAAGTAGTTTCACACAATCGCATTTTAAGCGACAAGTTTCACAACGCTTACAAAAATAAACAGCTCCACCATATCTTGAATCGGAGATTTACCTCGTGTTTTCTCATACTTAGTTAACGAAGCAACATAGGTGGAGTAGACATGCTATGTCTCAAGTTATTTTATCCGCCAAGCAGTAATAGGAAACAGCAATAAGCATCGGAAAGGAGTAATCAAAGTTAAAAGAAAAGGCAGCTACGAATTATCAATCCTGGTCTCGAGCATAAATTCATCCGAACGATTAGCACCAGAATGATTATTCTCTCCAGAGAGATTTTCAACAAAATGTTTAAGTCCGCAATGAGATCACTCAATTTACAACAAGCAGGACTCACCTCTACATGAAATCTTATCAGAAATAAAATCTTATCAGAAAATTAATGCTGTCCAATGCTGTTAGCCTGTTACCAACAGTTATTTGATATTTCAAATTCATCCGAACATTCTTTGCTTTATATGCGACTGCTGCCATCATGTCTTCACAGACAATAACTTACCTCAATAAGAAATACAGAACTGAGTAGAGCAGCTTTTTTCAAATTCATCCGAACTCTAATGCTTCTTATGCAACCACGGAGTAGAGCAGCTTTTTTCAGAAAACGACATTGATCAATATACTTAGAGAATGTTGTTACCGCTAACTCCGAGGCCCATTATGACATTAATGCTCCCAAATTGACATTTCCTTCATTATTCATCACTAGTAGCCGACAGGGTTTAAATTAGACGGCAACATGGAGGCTGACAAGAGAAACACGATGCTAACCACAACATAATTACACCTGTAGAAGTTCGTCTAAGTGAACAATTTCAGCACTGACACTACGCACCAAATCCTAATTCTTAAAAACATAAATGGACTGGAAAGTGGATTCACAGTTTTTAAGGACCAGTACAAAGATATAGAGATACTAAAAACTGAAACACCATCTATCCAAATAAAAGGTTCTAAATCAAAGACTTAAGTATTATTCCAAAGCCAGTCTCCAGATATATCCATAAGAGAAATTAACAGGAAATTGCAAATGACAAATCAACAGTTACCCTGAATATCAATCATCTCCCGCTGGAAACAAAGTAAGAACCTTCCTCCCATTAGCAGCTGTAGCTGATTCCAAATCCTCAACATAAGATGGCACCACTGGGCTACTACTATGCACTGATGTTCCCATTCTCTGAACCTGCTGATGCGACTGCCTCGACACGAATGGAACCTCAAACTGCCCGTTTGGTGGCGACCCGAAATGCCTATACTGCTGCTGAAGCTGTGGAGGGTGTCCAACAACTGCAGCCATCTGATGATGATGATGCATTGCTGCCACTGGAACGAACGGCATATAATGGTCAGAATTACCCCTCCCTGGATGCAAAAAATGTGGAGGCACTGCTGAACTAGCAAACAGTTGATCTGTTGCTGTATCCACCATCCCTCCCCCGGATAAACCCGGTATACTTCCATTCCCATTGCCACTGCCACCATTAGAAAGTCCCTGCATACGTTTCAAATATAGCCTATACTTTTGCAAATGACTAGCCACATTCTCACGAGTTAAGCCATCTACACTCATCAACTGCATTATAGTCTTGGGGACAGCATTTTTGATCCCCAAATGAGCAACTGCATCCACAAACCTCTTGTGGAGCTGTGGGGTCCACACAAGCCTAGGCCTTTTTAAGGTGCGGGCAGGTTCATCAACACCCCCTGAACCTGCAGTGCCACCCAACTCAGCCGAGTCAAACTCAGCTGATGAGTTAGGGTGAGATGAAGGTGTATGAACTCCTAGTGGTGGAGCAGTCTGCTGGTGTTGTTGGTGGTGAGTTTTGGGAAGTGGGCTATTGGGGTTTTGAATATCAAAAGCTAAGGCTAAATCAGGAGTGATGAGGGTTTGGGATAAAGGCATTAGCTCCTCAGGAGAAGGCAGTTCTTCTTCCCATTTAGCAAACCAATTAGAATTTTCTTCCCTCATATCACTAGACCTTCAAGAATATTCTAAATTACAAGATTTTGGACCAACTGACAATTGAACTGAAAAAATGAGTTTTTGACAGATGGGGTTTGTGATAGACAGTATAAAAGTAGAAAAAAAGATCAGATTTTTCTGAGGTGGGGTTGAAAATTTTTCTGGGGTCAATGATCTCTCTCTACTTCTTGGAAATTCAGATTGATGGACTAATTCTAACAAATGAACTGAAGACTTAGTAGAAGAAGAAAAAAGGAGTGTATTTGAGAAAATGGGATTGTGATAGAGAGAGCAAAGACTTGAAAGATTAGATTTTTTCTGAGATGGAATTTTTTCTGAGAGCAAAGCTTTGATATTTGGGTGTTGAAGAAAGAGGAGGAGGAAACTTAAGACAAATGAGTTTAGCTTTGTAAATTTGCAATAATGGTATGATTTTGGACTGTGTTTGCAGAGGGTGGGTTTTGGGGGGTTGAGAGAAGGGGGTTGGGGTGGAGGGGTGTTCGAGGTGGATCTTGTTTTTTCTTTTCAGCTTTTTATTATGGTTACTGTTCGTGATGCTTTTCTCACGGATTTTATGGAATTATGAGCGGCAAAAATCACCTTATTTTTTAGAAGTGTTTTTTTCAAAAGTACTTTTTTGGTAAGAACCAGTTTGTGTTTGGCTAATTAGTTTAAAAAATACTTCTGAGCAGCAATTAATGTTTGGCCAAGCTTTAAAAAACTGCTTCTAAGTGTATTTTTCTCAAAAGTGCTTCTCAAAAAAGTGTTTTTGGAGAGAAACTACTTTTTTCTGCTTCTCCAAAACTGCTTCTGTTTCTCCTCAAAATCACTTTTTTCCTTTCAAAAGCTTGGTCAAACACCTCAATTTTTGGCCAAAAGAGCTTTTGACAAAAAAAAAATACTTTTGGCCAAAAAAAACTTGGCCAAACAGAAAGTGTTGTGCGGAGGTATGGGGAGTATGTGATTTTATTATTTGGGAATTTTGAGGGTCTTTGTGATTTTATCACCCTTCTGTCCATTTTAATTAAAAAAATTTTTTTACTATTTTCACATATATTAAAAAATTTACCTTTTAGCATTAATTAATAATAAAATTGATCATATTGATCCTAATTTGATCATTAAAAATATAACAAACTGCTTCTAGGCTCTTTAAGACAACTTTGAAAAGAAAAAATTAATTTTTTCTTGACATTTGAAAAAATCAAATATTATGCAGTTAAAGTGGACCGGATGGAATAATATTGATGAAAATCTCCACCACTCTATTCCTCTAAAGAGATTTTTTCAAGAAGGTTCTTATGCAGTTGGTTGCTAAAAAGGTGTCGAGAGTGAGGGTTATATGAAAGGTTTTTTTGCTTTGCATCGATCCAACATCTGCTTTAGAGTTAAATAATTCAGACTTTATTTGTGCTTTCTTTTCTTTTTGGATATTAGCCCATCTCTATTGTAACTCTTTTGTACCTCAATTATTTGAATAAGCAACTTGTCAGTCAATAAGCATAGGGAAGAAGTCTTTATTTCTACCTAATTAATGTTTGTATTATGTAATTCGACTTTACAACAACAACAACAACAACAACCCAGTGTAATCCCACAAGTGGGGTCTGGGGAGGGTAATATGTACGCAGACCTTACCTCTACCCCGAGGGGCAGAGAGGCTGTTTCCAGGAGACCCTCGGCTCAAAGAGGCAACAAGAGACACTATATTAGTACTATCAATAGACTCATAATAAAACAACATAAAGTACCATAAAATCCATAACATAACATAAATACCATAAAAACAAAGTAACAACAATATAAGAGATATAGGAAATACNCTATATGTAATTCGACTTTAAGAATCATAAATTAAATTAAAATACTCATTAATAATAAACGTTGATTTTTGTTCGTTATAAATATGCTGGCATCTCTTTCGTTAGACTTAGCCCCACAAAATCCATAGCGCGTGTAAATCACGACCCACTATAAGTGGACTGTACTGATCAATCAGGTGGCAATGAATGGTGCTTTCGTAGTTCCTAAAATCAAGGTCTCATAGATTCTCCTTTTTTTGGTAAGAGAAAAATGATTGTTAAAATAACAGAAAATAAAAATGGATAAAGTATTGCTTTTTCTGTACTTTCTTATCGAGCAAAAATGATAGCATCAGCGAAAAATTATCCCATCAAAAAAGGCAACACTTTATCCATTTTTTCTTAATTACTTAGATACAACAAATTTACACAAATTAAAATGGAACACTTTACACAAATTTACACAAATTAATATAACGGGATTAAATACTGCAGTAATTTTAGTCTTGTAGTAGTTCAGGTCAAAAAAAAAAAAAAAAATTGTCAAAAGTAATTTAAAAAAAAATCACAAAAGAAAAAAGAACCTTGGTAGTTCAGGTTAAAGTTGTTTCGACTTATGAGAAAGTTGTCACCTTGTAAGAAACCTTTATTTATCATCAAGTTTGTTGCTGGAGTGGGAAATCAAATGAGCTTTCAACGAAAGAAGGCGGGTTGTGAAGAACTTAGAATGCATTTTTATACTACTTTTCTTTATGTGATTTAACAGATGGGGAATATTTTTGGGTGCTCGATGTTAGTAGTGGTGGCTTACTGGGTTTTGTTTGGGTGCTCGATGTTAGTAGTGGTGGCTTACTGGGTTTTGTTTGGGTGCTCGATGTTAGTAGTGGTGGCTTACTGGGTTTTGTTTGGGTGCTCGATGTTAGTAGTGGTGGCTTACTGGGTTTTGTTTGGTTGTGGGATATAGAGTCTGATTCCTCTTATTAATAATATCCAATGAAATGGCAAAATCACTTTTCACTCTTGTGCGTTCTGAATGGACTAAAAATATACTGTACCGAATATGCCCCTATTAAGATCAAAAATAGTCGGAGTTATAAAATTATGCGTAACGTTTTCTAATTGGGGTATTTGAATGAAATATGTCTCACGGATTTAATTTACCAAAACAGTATCATTGCAGCATTATCAATTTACCATAACTACTGGAGGTCAAGCTAGTTTGTCGTAGATTTTACTTTTCAATTTCTCAGTTGTCCAAGTATATTTTCACAGGTCGCGAATTCTGTTTTACAGCCAAATTTGACGAAAAACAAAACATAGATCAAAGTTTATTCTTTTAGAGAACCTCACCAAACATTGCCTGTTTTACCGAAATTCAGTTGAACAACTATGGAAATGTTTCAGAGTTTTTAAACTAAATATTTCAATGCAAGAAAAAAAGTCGCTTTTGGTTATACTATTCATATGAAGAAGCAGCCAAGAGGGATTTGGCTGGAGGTTGCAGTGCAACAGCACCTCTCTCTGGTTTGGAATACTTCTTGTAAATCACTTTCAGCTTGTGTTCTGGAGCTTCCATGTGATAGCTTACGAGCAACTTTGCACAACCCCTGTGTCAGTGTCACAAAACAAGTACAAATATATATTAGTATATTCATATGGGTAGGAAGAAAAAATGGCTAAATTTTGTGTTACTCACAGTAGCTGAGACTCTGAGAAACCAGTATGCAATTTTAGTGTGTCGTTCCAAAATGGAGTGCAATTCAGCGTGTGTTGAGCAACATAGACTGCTGAGGCAGCAATCATCGATGGGCAGTATATATTGGTTGCATAATTCATTAACCCCAATTCAGCCAGGAAATAAACCATGTTTTCCATCTGTGCATTGGAAACAGCAGCTTTAATGTAGCGGACGAGGAACACGTAAGGTGTTGGAACTGTTAAGTACCACTCCAATTGGCCAAGAATCCTTTTCTCCATTCCCAACACCTGCTCATGACTGTAAGCTTTATCTGAGATGCACACAAAGTCATTCACCTGAAAAAAGTTGGTTGTTAGCAACTTTCAAAATGGGAAAGTAACTTGGCATAATTAGACTTGAAATGTACCTCAGGAGCCCAAATTTCTTCATATTTAGAGGCAATGAGCATAGCACTCATGCCTACTAACTGCAATTCCCTCCTTGATGTAGTTGTCACAGCGAGGTAACGATCGACGATATTGATTGTAAGGTAAAGAGTCTCTTGACTAAGCTCAAATTTGTGATGCACTTCAATCAACCAATCAATCAGAATAGCTCTCATCCTTGCAGTTATCTCAGGCTGTGAATCCATGTAGTCATGAATTCTGCTCTCATTCTAGTGTAACAGAAAGATAACCATAGTTAGTGTCAATCAAGATTTGTGAACAAGAAACAAAATGCAAATTAAAAAACACGAAAATATACCTCAGCTATCTTATAAAAATTGTAAATATCCTCAACATATTCCACCACAGCCAACTCATTATTCACATCTGCAGCATCAATATCCACAATCTGGACCTTTGGTTTATGACTCAGTCCACAGGCAGCCTTTGAAAACAGAAGACAAATCAGACAACAAAATAGAGAAATATGACCAAATATAATTGTTTCAGAACTAAATGAATAATTCTCACCTTGCTCCTAGCAGTGAGAGTTGAAGTAAGAGTTGCTTTCTTTACTGAAGAATCATCACCAGCCTTCTTCTTTTGCTTATTTTCCTTCACTTGTTCTTCAGTATCAGGACTAATTTCAATAACATCAGGCTTTGGTTTAACAGCAGCTTTCTTTTGAACTGGTTTCTTTGCTGCACCTTTAACCGGTAGAACTCCTTTAGCAACGATCGGTGCATCCCCATTAACAACCATAGATTTCTACAAATGAATAGAAGACCAACAACCTTTTTTATTAGTATAACTGTTTGATAGAACTTGTTAAGAAAAACTATGATTTCAAGTCACAATAAATTAAACCTTTTGGTTTTCAGCTGCTGCTTGTGCATTAGCGAGCAATTGTGCACAAAAGCCCCTCGTTATGGGGCGTTGAGGAAGTGGCTTTCCCTCGACACCACGAACAGTTACCATATTATTCCCAATGTCACCAAGCGCCTTGCGATTTCTCCCTTGTGCTGCTGCTGCCATATTTTTCTGCTTTAACGCCCCGGGGACTGCCTCACCTGACCAATGTACAAGTCTTATCTTTAGTATTAACATTGCAAGAGTTGTTTTTACATATTACATTGAAGAGGTATGCCAAAAGGTTTATGGAATTTCTGCAAATTATTTACATCATATATTACATTTAAGGTCAGTGTTAAATTGTTAAAAGAACCAATTCTATGACATAAACTTTTAAGATTTATAATAATAATCGAAGTAGATCCTTGCTCTTTTTTTTTTCTTCTTAAATCAGGTTTTCGCAAAACTTGGTAAAATCCAATTTAATTCCAGTAATATATCTCTTGATAGATATGCCAAAAGGTTTATGGAATTTCTGCAAATTATTTATACCTTCAAAGACATTACATGCGAAATTCAGATTACACAATCATTATTATATTCAGATTTACTTCAGGTGGATAAACATTAGGTCAAGATAGACTGCAGATAGTTTAATTAGTTCAAACACTCCCTAAACACCAACCCATCTTTTTCAATGTCCAAATGGCAAAAAAGACAAACAAGGTAGTAATCAAAT